ACCATGGTGATGGGACGGAGGAGACATGACGAGCGAGGACCATAGGCTGCTTAGTTACTCCTATTTAGTTTAAGTCATTGGTTAAGGCCTTATGTTATGGCCAATAAACGAATTGTTCGTATTTGAATAATTGGGAGATTTCCCTTGTTGTTAGTTTCATTTCGGGATAGGTGCCTATTTTAGTTTTATTCTATTCATTGAGTTTCGCCTAGTTTGAATAATAAACTTGCCTCGTGAGGTGGCCCACGAATGTTGTTGAATGATATTCTATGGGATTGATTTATCGTTAAATTGATGAGAATTGGAACTTGATTTTATATATTTTTTTGCATAGGGAGTTGGCAGGACGTATTTGGGGTTAAGTTTAATAGGTTGGGTAGTTAACGTGACCTAGAAGTGTGTGGGAAATTCTGGGTCGTTACAACCTATTTCAAATTAGTTCGAACATTATTTGTATTTAATTTTGGCAAATAACATGTATGAAATTTATGACCAATTTTGCCACAAGAATAACAAACAACATTAAACAAGAATTTCCTTTTAACAAAATGATTTGGCACAATAGTTTTCTTATAGAAATTCTTCCTTGGAGCATTTTTCAATTTAAAGCAATTAGGCCTAGTATGACCTTTAACTCCACAAAAATGACATGTAGGCACAAATTTGACATTATGCATATAATTTGATTTTCCATGAACATGCTTAGACAAGTTTAACACTATGTATATAATTAGTTCTACATAAGCATGTTTAGGTACAAATTTTGATTCTACATGCATATTTGCCTTTCCATGCTTAGACATAAATTTAGAACTTGTATTTACATTTGAAGCTTTAGATTTAGACAAGTAACAAGAATAAACTTTAACTTGATTTTGATGGAAAAAAATATTTGTATTCCAATATATCAATGATAAGAAATACATGGCCTTCTTATATAGAAGATAGGCTCAAACATAAATGGAAATATAGATAAAATAATAATTAATATTGACAACTAATTTATAGGTAATATTTACAAATAATAAATCAACACTCCCCCTCAAGCTGGTTGAAAGATATCTTCCATTGCCAACTTGTCAACCATCTTGTCAAATTGTACTTTCGGTAGTCCTTTTGTCAATACATCGGCAGTCTGCTCCATTGTTGGGAGGTAAGGGATACATATCACACCGGTATCAACTTTTTCTTTTATGAAATGTTTGTCAATTTCAATATGCTTAGTCCTATCATGTTGAACTGGATTGTGGGCTATGGAGATGGCAGCCTTGTTATCGCAATAAACTTTTATGGGTGCTTTCTGAAATACTCTCAATTCTTCAAGTAACATTTTTATCCATATCCCTTCATAAATACCATGGGCTAGGGCCCTAAATTCTGCTTTAGCACTGCTTCTGGCCACTACATTTTGTTTCTTACTTCGCCAAGTTACTAAGTTACCTCCAATAAATGAACAATAACCAGAAGTAGATCGTCTATCTGTCATATTTCCTGCCCAATCAGCATCGGTATAAACTTCAACCTGCAAATGGTTGTGTTTTTTGAACAATATACCTTTTCCTGGAGTTCCTTTCAGATATCTTAAAATTCTATAGGCAACTTCAAAGTGAACTGATCCTGGTGAGTGCATAAATTGACTTACCATGCTTACTGCAAAGGTAATATCTGGACGTGTGTAAGACAAGTAGATGAGTCTTCCCACAAGACCTTGATATCGTTCCTTATCCTTTACTTCTTCTTTTGCAGCTCCCAGTTTCAAATTAGGTTCAATAGGGGTTTCAGCTACCTTGCATCCAAGCAAACCTGTTTCTCTAAGTAAATCAAGAATATATTTTCTTTGGTTAACAAAGATACCTTTCTTAGATCTTGCAAACTCCATTCCTAGGAAGTACTTTAACGTTCCTAGGTCCTTGATTTGAAATTCACTTGCGAGTCTTTTCTTTAAAGTAGCCAGTTCTACTTCATCATCACCTGTAAGTACAATGTCATCTACATAGACAATCAAAATTACAGTTTTATTGCTTTCAGAACGTTTGTAAAAGATGGTATGATCAGCTTGACTCTGAAGGAATCCATAGCTCATGACTACCTTACCAAATCGTTCAAACCATGCTCTTGGAGATTGTTTGAGTCCATACAGAGATTTCTTTAGCCGACATACTTTATCCTTTCCAAGATTAGCTTCGAAACCTGGTGGTAAACTCATAAATACTTCTTCTTCAAGATCTCCATTCAGAAAAGTATTTTTTACATCGAGTTGGTGAAGAGGCCAATCTAAATTTGCAGCTAGAGATAAAAGTATCCTAATGGAGTTGATTTTAGCAACAGGAGCAAAAGTTTCCTGATAATCAATCTCATAAGTTTGAGTAAATCTCTTAGCAACTAGTCTAGTTTTATACCTTTCAACACTACCATCAGCATTACACTTGATTGTAAAAACCCATTTACACCCCACAGTTTTCTTATCTCTTGGCAAATCTACGATCTCCCATGTACAATTATGTCTTAGAACATTCATCTCCTCCATAACAACTAGTTTCCAATTTGGATCATTTAGGGCTTCTTGTATGTTTCTTGGAATAAACAAGTTAGTTATCCTAGACGTAAAGGATTTATGACTACTTGATAGTTTTTCATAGGAGATATAGTTTGCAATGGGATATTTTGTGCAAGTTCAAGTTCCTTTTCTTAATGCTATTGGAACATCAAGATCATAAACAACCGGTATGACATTTTCAATATTTGGGGTGACAAGAATGGAAGATTGATTACCTGGAGTTTCAGAATTATCCCTCGGAGTTTCAGATTGGGTCTGTGATGAGCCAACTATCTGGTCCTCATTCGTTTGATTGAGTCTTCTTCTAGTATAAAACTTAAACTCAAGATTTGGACCAATTTGACCATTTCGTAGTAATTCTCCCCCTGAATTAGAATTTTCTACACTTGGCATTGAAAGACTCGTAAAGACAGGACTATGGCTAGTAAAGTTGAGACTTAAAACATTAGGAAGAGGAACAGGTATATCCCAAAAATTATCATCCTCTAAATTTAGTTTCTCCCCCTAAAGATAATTTTGGGTAAAAAACGGTTGATTTTCCAAAAATGATACATCCATACTCACATGTAGTTTTTTTGTTTGAGGATCAAAACATTTATACCCTTTTTTCGTAGAATCATAGCCCAAGAAAATGCATTTAATAGCTCTATGATCTAATTTTGACCGAAAAGGACTAGGAACATGCACATAAGTGGTAGACCCAAAAGCTTTGAGAGGTAAATCAGAGTTCAAACGAGTTGTTGGAAAATATTCTTTCAAAGCATTAAAAGGAGTTTTAAACTTCAAAACTTTAGTAGGCATTCGATTTATTAGGTAGGTAGCCGTAAGAACAGCTTCCCCCCATAAGTACTAAGGGACATTCATAGAAAACATTATGGCCCGAGCAACCTCCAATAAATGCCTATTTTTTCGTTCAGCAATACCATTTTGTTGAGGAGTATCTAAACAAGTGGAGTGATGAACAATACCTTTATTTTTCAAAAACTCACTCAAATGTTCACTGAAATATTCAGTTCCATTGTCAGAATGCAAGATACTAATTTTGGTTTGAAATTGGGTTTCAATCATATTGTAAAAACATTTGAAAATATCTTTCACATCAGATTTGTTTGTCAATAAATAGACCCAAGACAAGCGAGTATGATCATCAATAAAAGTTACAAACCACCGTCTACCACTATGAGTTAGAACTTTAGAAGGACCCCAAACATCGCTATGAATTAAGTAAAACAGTTTGGAGGACTTGTAAGGTTTTGGCAAATATGTGGATCGATGATGTTTTGCAAAGATACAGTTTTCACAATGAAATTGATAACAATTAAATCCTTTAAACAAATCTGGGAATAGATATTTGAGATAGAAGAAACTAGGATGTCCTAGCCTAAAATGCCATAGCATAATTTTTTCTTTAACAGAGAGAATTGTTACTACTAAAGCACTAAGTTATTTTATTACTACCATAAGGCTCATCAAAGTAGTAGAGGCCATCCAGCATCCTAGCACATCCAAACGTCTTCCCCGAGGACCGATCCTGAAAAACACGGTGAGATGCATAGAAAGTAACAAGACAGTTATAATCTTTAGAGAGTTTACTAACTGATAGAACATCGCAGGCTAATTTAGGAACATGAAGAACCGATTGAAGAGTGATATTTTTGGTTAATTTAATGGTTCCCTTTCCTGCAATAGAAGAGAAATTGCCATCGGCAACCTTAATTTTTTCATTGCAATATATAGGTGAATATGATTCAAATATTTTAGAAGAACTAGTCATGTGGTCAAAAGCTCCGGAATCAATGATCCACAGAGATGAGTAAAAACAAGAAAAATGCTCTAGGGTAATTACCTGTTTGTGCCAAGGAAATACAAAGATTACCAAATGACGAATTGGTCTCTAGCTGTTGTGATAGATGCTCTTTAATAGATGGATTTGAGTCAACACTATTAGTGTGAACTTGCTCCCGGTCACTCTCATATTCCGCTAGACTTTGGTTGGAACTTTGAGTTACTTCAACGATTTCTTCAACCATGGTGGCAAAAACAGGTTAACTGAATCAAATCAAACCACAATCTAATATTAGATAACCAGAAAAACCCGAACCGAACCGGGTGGACAAAATCGGACCAGAAAAAATCGAACCGATAGAAAACCAAATCGGATCTACGAACCAAACCAAACCGGACGAACCACCTAAATCGAACCGGTTTAGGGTTTGTAGAATAAGAACGGCCCACGAACATAGAAGCCGATTTGCTTCTACTACCAGATCTGCGAAGGGGGGGGGGGCGGAGGGTTTTTATCACGACAGATCCACGATGAACAGAGGATAGCGGCGGTGAGCGCAACGGCAAACGGCGGCAAAAACGGAGTCTTGAGGCTCGTACGGCGGCAGATTTGAATGGGCTCCGAGTAGCAACCTCCGAATCGATAGCTCCGACGTCGGCACCAACCACAATCGCGGAAAAAACTATGGCTCCGTCGATCTACAAATGAGAAACACCGCGCACGAAGGGACTGACCGAAAGTAGGATGCGTCGTTTGAAGATGCCGGCTAGGGTTCCGACAACGGTAATGGCAGCGGCTAGGGTTTCTACAAGCCCTTAGGATATTAGAGTTTATTTTGCTCTGATACCAACTTGATTTTGATGGAATAAAAATATTTGTATTCCAATGTATAAATGATAAGAAATAAATGGCCTTCTTATATAGAAGATAGGCTCAAACATAAATGGAAATAAAGATAAAATAATAATTAATATTGACAACTAATTTACAGCTAATATTTACAAATAATAAACCAACACTTTATGTCCATACTTGTCACATGAGGAACAAACAATATTATGCAAGGATTTATCTTTTGCAACAAATTTATGCACTCTACTTTTCTTTTGAAAATTTTGTTTTGGAGCATTGTGAGACTTTGCTCTTTGAGAAAAATTTCTTCTAGAAGAAGTAGTTTGTGCATATTTCAATTTGAAACTGTTGGGTCTAATATGACCTTCRACACCACAATGATGACATATAAGTACAAAACTAGATTTAGCGTTCATAGACACAATAGGAGATGCTTTTACAAAGATAGTTTTAGAACATGAAGGAGTAGAACATTCATCAATATAGCCTAAACCTCTCTTATCACCATAAGGTTTGCCTACTTCAATGATTTTATCTAACCTTTGAGCACCTATTGTCAACTAACTTCTTAAGAGATTCTTTTGCACTTCAAGCTCTTTACTAGCAAACA